TAGCAGTGGCACACGGTGCAGAGGAGGGCAGGGACATACGAGAGGGTCTGATGCGCTACCTGAATACCTAGAATGTATAATGTAATACCTAAATATTCATTGTATTGTATTGAACATAAATACATCTTTTCTTTTTCACATACATGTTTGTCAAATTATTTAAACCAAAAAAATGTTATCAGAATTGACTATTTAGTAAATATTTGAATTTCAAGCACCAGTACTGCCCCATAATAATAATAATCTAATAAATTAAGCAAATATCAAAGCAAACTATAAACATAAATACAAAAGTGTAAAACACAGCAGAACTATATTCATAAATGCAAGTGTAAAAAATGGTTAACATGGATGGAGGCTAAAGTATCCACAGCATAACATAATATGATTATGATGGTTTGTCTGAAAGACACAGCCTCAAGGTTCAAGGTTTTTTATTTTGTCATACGAACATAGCTAGTGTAGTTATGACAATGAACATCTTAGGTCACAGGCTCCTCCAACAGTGCAACACAATAACCCAGATCAACAGAAATATAGTGCAAGTAAATATTAAGCGCTGTGCACCGCTCTCTTTGTATAGGTGTTTTATTTTGTTCTCTTCTCTTTGAAATATATAAGCAATGTGTTTGAGTCTAGCACAACGAGGGTATTACAATTGAGTAATTTTTACTACATGTATTTATCATGTATTCTTAATACCATTACAAAATATGTAATGTTATGTTTTAGAGGAGGACCTCAAGCTAGCAAACTCAATTTCAAACAGTATGCAGAGTTGTCCTGCTAAAGAGTTAAAATGTATTATTTAACCAAGTATTTATTCTCTTATTTGCAACAGATGATAAAGGTTTCACTGTGATAAGTATTCTCTTAAATCCATAAACCCCTGTACAGTGCTTTGTGGACGATGATGGTGTTTATGATATTTCTGACTGCAGAGGGACGCCTAGATGATGCCATCTTTCTGTGTGATCGCTGGTGGGTGCAATTATTTATCAACAAGCAATAAGATATGACATGGCATTGATTCTGCTGGGCCAGTTGCCGTTCCTGCAGGGCCAGATCCTCTCCTCCTCGGTTTGTGCTGTTGATGCAGAGGACGTTGTTCGGAACTGTTCCTCCTCGCTAGTCCCAATGTAATCATCTAGAACAGAAACATGACTTGTAAATTCCACAAACTACTGCAGCACAATACTATAAATAGCAACAACAACTATAGAAAAGACAAACTGAACGTAAACAATGGCACATATGGTGTTAGCAAACAATAGCTCTCGCTAATGCTATCTGCCTAGCTAGCCTTCGGGGCTCCATAAAAGCATGGGTTGTCGAACATAAATGTAAGGATAAAATAGACTTATTTGTTAGAAGTGAGCTTTAGAACAGATAGGGACACAAAGCAGGGACACAAAGCTTTCAAGCAAATAACAGAGCGTTAGCAAAAACGTACCATGCAGACTCCAGTAACGCCAGTGTCTGTGTAGAGACCTCCTGAAAGACTTTGATATTGCGAGTTGTCCCGTCGAGCACCCGCTGGACCTTATCATCTGCAATATAATGGACGTCGTCACTTCCTCGACCGACCATGGTGTGCTTTTCTTTGCCATTGTTGTAGCTCCTCTGTTAACAAAAATGCTGTTTGTAAAAATGGATTATCTCGCGCGCAGATTGTGACGATTCTCTCCGACCAATCAGCAGCCGAGAGCGTTGACGTCACAAACTCAGCCCGGTTGTCTTTGGCCCTAGCCCCACGATTTTATGAGGCCAGAAAAACTGTGAATTAGGACCCGCCGGCCGGTACTAGGCCAAGTGGAAACGCAACCACAAACGGGCCGCTGACGTCACAGCCCTCTTAAACCGGGCTGTGCGCTGTAGTGGAAACGCGCCATTAGTCTCCAGCTTCTTCCTGTAGGAATCTCTGCCCCTCCTCAAATTGTCTCTCAGCTCATGCTGGATACTCTTCAGCATTGATTTGTCCCCAGACTTAAAAGCTTCCTTTTTCTTATTTAAAAGAGTTTTCAGGTCACTAGTAATCCAGGGTTTATTGTTGGGGAAACAGTTGACAGTTTTAGCCGTTAATATTGTTTGTTCACAGAAGTTGATGTATTCTGTGATGCAGTCAGTCATGTTATTGATGTCCTCTCCATGTGGCACACAAAGCACGTCCCAGTCAGTGGTCTCGAAGCAGTCCTGTAGAGCCTCATTAGCCCCTGGAGTCCATTTCCTCACAGTCCTGGTGGATACAGGCTGCCTCTGCACCAGGGGGACATATTTAGGAGCCAAAAAGACGAGGTTGTGGTCAGATCTGCCCAGGGGGGGGAGGGCAGTGGCACAATATGCATTCTTGGTATTAGCATATAGAAGATCCAGAGTATTATTTCCCCTGGTGGGGCATTTCACATACTGAGTGAATGTAGGCAGAGATTTGTCCAGTTTTGCACGGTTAAAATCCCCAGTTATTGTGATGAATGCATTTGGGTGAAGAGTTTGGAGTTTGGCCACAGAGGAGTGAATGACGTCACCAGCCACCTCCGCGTCCGCGTTCGGTGGAATATAGACAGCAACTACGATGACAGAATAAAGTTCTCTAGGTAGATAAAATGGACGTAATCCCACAGCTAGCAGTTCAATGTCCGGGCTACAGAAACGCTCCTTCACAGTAACATGTCCAGGATTACACCATCGTTCATTCACATACAGTGCAATCCCTCCTCCTTTCTTTTTACCGCTCAGAATAACGTCCCTGTCCGCCCGAACACTCGTGAAGCCGGGGAGAGCCGTGTTATTATCCGGGATGAGCGAGTGCAACCAAGTCTCGGTAAAACACATGATGCTACACTCACGGTATTCCCACTGCGTCTTCGGCAGCACGCGGAGCTCGTCCATCTTATTCCCCAAAGACCTCACGTTCCCCATTATGATGGCCGGTACACAGGGTTTGTACCTCATCTTCTTCTTCATCCTCAGCTTGGCCCCAGCTCTGCAGCCACGCTTGAGCCTCCGAAGCTCCTCCGGGATGTCATGCCTGGCTCCGGGCAGCAGCACGGGTCGGCACAGCGCAATCAGCTGCTCACGCGAGTAAACAATGCCATCACTCCTCAGAGCATGGCTCTCCGACACAAAAAGTGAAAAAAGTAGCAGAAGAATGACCAGAAAACGTTCGAAGTAAAACGTGGCCATAGTTCACTGCAAGACGAACTAAATATACAAAGAAAAAAGTACAACTAAGAGAATAAAAGTAAACAAAAAGACAAAGATCAATAAAACACTAGGCAGCAACAGGCAGCCACCAGCACAGCGCCTAATAGCATGATATATATATATATATATATATATATATATAATATACTCCTTAAACAAAATAAACAGAGTCAGATTTCATGCATTGATCCATTATATTGACAAAGGAGGATCTCACCCGGTGTTTGTAGAGAATATCTCTCTTTCTGAGCGCGTCCTCTCCACAGAGACGTGCTTCTTGGTCGGTCGATGCAATATCCACAGATTCGGTTTCTTTCAGTTAACTTCCCCGTAGCATTTATCCATATGCTGAGGAAATGACTATATCCCGCTGAATACCAGCAATCGCCACACACACTTCCTCCTGTCAGTAGCTACTGCTAGTGCTACTGCTACTGACCATGCTACAGATATTAGTGCAAAAATCTACAGCTCCTCTACCACAACCATCAGCAACAAGTGGACATGGAGAATTACATGAACTACATGTTGCTAAATACACCGCGGGGCATAAACAGAAGGGTAGCCATGGCAACATTGCTGCGGGGCTGCTGCGGAGTCTTCTTCGCTGCTTTTGGTGTATTTTGGCGGAAGTTACAGCGCCACTTACAGTCCCGGCATATGTACTACAGCGTTTCCAGCGGTCTCGTTTGAACAGACACGTTAAATGAAACGAATGCATGTGAACGGAAGACTTTTTTGAATACGCATACTGTGCATAAACGCAAACGGTCCCGTGTGCACAACGCCTTAGACTTGATGTGAAACCTTAAGGAACAACAGGAGGAAGGTGTGAACCCCTCCCCCCCTCACCTACCTCTATGGTTGTGTCCCCCCTTTATGTCCTATCCTCTCCTGAGACGACCCCCCCCCCCACCCCAGACTAATCTTGCAGGTACTTTAGCTTGAAATTTGCCAAACAATTTTTAGGGCTACATGCAGGAATGAAAAACCCCAACAGTATGAAAAACATTCAGTAATGAGCAATAGAAACAGAGAATATGAATGTAAAATAAAAAATGCTCACTGAAAACGAACATGAAGATGAAACGAGATGAGATTCCGATTGAACACCAATGTCCTCTTTTACTCTTTCTGGCAGCAGTTCAAATAAAGACCATTCATAAAAACCCTAATGCAAAGTGATTGTAAGTAATTATAAAACATTAAACAGTTTCTAATGATGAGTCAGAGTCTCTTTGTGTCGACAAGTTTAATGAGAAACTAGAAAAAAAGTTTTAAGTTTACAGCTCAGATTATTACAGCAGCAAGAATCACATTTCCTGAGAACACAGAAAACTAACGGCCGTCACAATGAAGTCAAATAATGAACATGAGATCATATTATATCAGAGTTTCACTAGAACAATGTTTGTCCAAACAAAACAAGAACGTCACAAATGTACTTTATCACTTATCATACCTAACGTGTCTTAGTGTTTTATCACTTGAAGTAAATACAAAAAAAAAGTACCAAAAAAACAACTCAAACCTTTTTAATTGAACCAAAACATGGGGAAAAAACGATCCAGTGAACGTTACATACAGAACATTTTGAAAAGGCTGCTTTATCTAAATTAAAAAACGTTTGTAATAACCAGAACACTCACATATAGAGCTAAGTGTGTGAGGACAGCAGGGTTTTGGGAGGTCTGAATGTAGTCCATAAAACATGTTTATTAGAACGTAAAGTCACTGTTGGTCAGCTTTACATTTGGACAAAAGCAGGTGGAATGCTAGCTCGACTCAGAAAAGGATCAGATGGAGGCAGAGTGAGTGCGCTGGTGGACTTTAAGACTACTACCATGAAAAAAGGTTTTCCCACCCTCTTCACACCAGTATGGTTTTTCTCCCGTGTGAATACGACGATGGATTGTGAGGTTACCTGATGTAGTGAACGTTTTCCCACACTGGTCACAGCTGTGTGGTTTCTCTCCAGTGTGAATACGATGATGGATTGTGAGGTTACCTGATGTAGTGAACGTTTTCCCACACTGGTCACAGCTGTGTGGTTTCTCTCCAGTGTGAATACGACGATGGATTGTGAGGTTACCTGATGTAGTGAAAGTTTTCCCACACTCTTCACACCAGTATGGTTTCTCTCCAGTGTGAATACGACGATGGATTGTGAGGTTACCTGATGTAGTGAACGTTTTCCCACACTGGTCACAGCTGTGTGGTTTCTCTCCAGTGTGAATACGACGATGGATTGTGAGGTTACCTGATGTAGTGAACGTTTTCCCACACTGGTCACAGCTGTGTGGTTTCTCTCCCGTGTGGATGCGCTGGTGGACTTTAAGGCTAGTACCTCTAGAAAAGGTTTTCCCACACTGTTCACAGCTGTGTGGTTTCTCTCCAGTGTGAATACGATAATGGGTCTGAAGTTCACTTGATCCAGTGAAATCTTTCCCACATTGGTCACAGCTGAAAAGTTTGGGTTCCTTTCTTCTTCTCCGTTTCTAAAAAAGACAGACAGATAAAGAGTTAGTGAGAGGCCGTGATGCAGATATATCTAACTAAAATAAGAGTCTGTCAAATAAACCCCACAATGTTCAAGTTTGTTTTCTCATTAAAGGGACCTATCATGCAAAATGCACTTTTGTACGTCTTTTATACATGAATATGTGTCCCCGGTGTTCCAGGGAACTCACCAAGTGTCAGACAACACAACCCTCTCTCTTTTCCTCCATACCCAAATCTCTACAAACGAGGCTTCAACGGATCTGATACAGACTGATACAGATTTGAACATTTTTCTGACGTCAGGACGGAGGAGCTCCGCCTATATGGCCAACTCGGCACCTATCAGGGGAATGAGAGGTTGCCGTGGCATGGTAACAGCATGGTAACATGATGCTCGTAACTCGGGCCCCTCCTTTGCAGGGGGGCGTGGTCAGCTGCAGCGCATGCAAAGACAGGGCTGGAGGAGAGCAAAATAGAGCGAAATGAGGCATGGCTAAAATGCATGATCTGTTTGGTATTTTGAAAAAGAAAACGTATAAATATACCTTATATACAGGGGTGCACATAACTTTCTCAGCGAGGTACTCAGATGAGTACCTGGAGTCAGTGTTTGGTACTCCAACTTCTGGCTCCCCTCAAAGTTCCCATGAAGCCCTCTGCATCGCGAATGTCAACGGGGGGGGTGGTAGTGGAGTACAGAGCTTTGTGACCACAGAGCGTGTGAACGTTGTGATCAGCTGTTTTAGCGCAGTGCTGCTGTACAGGCCGACGTTAACAGCAGCCCTGTCTGTGCACACGGAGACCGACTCTGTCGTCCGGTGAACTAACCGCCTTCTGGAAAAGCTTCACAAGTACGTCGGTACTGCGCTTTGTGACGGTACGCATTTCAGATTGTTGCCGCGTACCTGCACAATGTGCCCCAGTGTAAGGGATAACAGTGTTAGGAATATATTGTGATGAAGTGAACACTGACCTGAGTTGTGGGGGTCTCTTTGTTCTCCTCCATGCTGCTCTTAGTGCTCCTTCTCCTGCTGGATCTCTGAAATAAGTATTAACCTGTTAAGCCCATAGCCTGTTTTTCAGGTCTCAGGCTCGAAAATGACATTCCCAGAACAAATGACTACAACTTAACTTCTAAAAGGGTTATATGAATAATTTATTTTATCAAAGCAAGGTTACATCTGTGAGTTGGATGTAGAAGTGTCAGAATGAATATAGATGTTTTTTATTTTAAAGAAAATTCAGATTTTACATAGTAAAAAACTGTAAATTATAGTGTCCGTCCAAATATTATTTTTTACTTATAGTGAAAACTACCCTTGGATGATGGGTTAGTAGACTAAAAGCTTTAGGAATCCAAAGTACAACATATAATAAGTACCCTGTATCAAGATTGATGCAAAACAAGTGACATTTGACCTTTTTAAGAGAGGTTTAGCCAAAACCACTCCACCTCTGAGGTGATTTGGGTGAAAATGTTTTTTTTTTCCATATCTCTGGCCCCCCTTGGTCGATTTTGATGGTTGACACCTCTTTCTGACCGTTAGAGCCAATAGAATCGAAGGGGGAGTCCCCCACACACACACGTTGTGAAGAGAAAAGGTGGGGGCTTCGCGCATGTAATTTTCAATCAGAGTGGACCTATCTCTCGCTCTGACATCTGGAAACGGAAAAGCAGTTTTAATGCTTATGGATTATCAGAAATCATTTCAAAGGGACACAGACACATTAGATTAACCTATGGATTAACTGCAGCATCGTTTTTATCGTTTTAATGCCATTGAAGACCACTTTGGAGAGACTACAGAGCCAAGGTAAAAATGTTAGCATTTTTAGCTACCTAGCGTCCCCTGTTTTGGTTCAAGGTTCTTTATTGTCAAACTAACATAGCTACAGAGTAATTATGTTGTTGAAAATCTTATGTCATAGGCTTCTCCAACAATGCAACATAATAATACAGATAGTAAAAGTAATACAAAAAGAAAAATAGTTCTAAAATAAAGTGAGTATGTGGAATAGTGCAGTACGAGTCTATATACAAGTTATTGGAATGATATATATTAGATAGTAGATATATATTACTGAGTAGCAGATGAATGTTTTGAAATTGTTTCAGCAGTTCAATTTTTTAACAGTCTCACTGCCCGCGGGAAGAAACTGTCTCCGAATCTTCTTGTCTTTGCCAGGATGCTGCGGTAACGTCTGCCAGACGGCAACAGAAAGAACAGTTTGTGGCTGGGGTGATGGGGGTCTTTGATAATCCGTAGGGATTTCTTCCTGAGCCGCTGGGAGTAAAGGTCCTCCATGGATGGCAGCTCCGTCCTGGTGATGTGCTGTGCAGTTTTCACCACCCTCTGTAAAGCCTTACGATCGAGGTCGGTGCAGCTGCCGTACCAGGCCGTCATGCTGCCAGTGAGGATGCTCTCTATGGAGCACCTGTAGAAGGTCAGGATGCTCTCTATGGAGCACCTGTAGAAGTTGCAGAGTATCGTGGAATCCATATTGAACCTCCTCAACCTGCGGAGGAAGAAGAGCCGCTGTCGAGCTTTCTTAGTGATGGTGGTGGTGTGAAGAGACCATGTCAGGTCCTCAGTGATGTGGACCCCAAGGAACCTGAAGCTTTTGACTCTCTCCACCGTAGTCCCATTGATGGCGATGGGGGCGTGTCCCTCTCCCTGCTGCTTCCTGTAATCCACAATCAGCTCCTTTGTTTTGCTGATGTTGAGATGGAGGTTGTTCTCCTGGCACCAAGATGTCAGGTTTTCGACCTCCTCTCTGTATGCCGTCTCGTCATCGTCTGTGATCTGGCCGATGACGGTCGTGTCGTCAGCAAACTTCACGATGGTGATGGAGCTGTGTGTGGCCACGCAGTCGTGGGTGAACAGGGAGTAGAGGAGAGGGCTGAGCACGCAGCCTTGAGGGGCACCGGTGTTAAGAATCAGGGTGGAGGATGTGATGTTTCCCACCCGCACTGCCTGGGGTCTGCCCGTCAGGAAGTTCAGGATCCAGTCACAGAGGGTCTGGAGGGCACAATGGTATTGAATGCTGAACTGTAGTCAATGAACAGCATTCTCACATATGTGTTCCTGTTCTTCGGGTCCAGGTGTGAGAGGGCAGTGTGGAGGGTGAGGGCTATGGCGTCGTCTGTGGACCTGTTTGCTCTGTAGGCAAACTGCAGGGGGTCCAGAGAGTCAGGGAGGGAGGAGGTGATGAATGATTTGACTAACCGCTCAAAGCACTTCATTATGATGGAGGTGAGTGCTACTGGGCGGTAGTCCAGTCGTTGGGGCAGGTGATTATTGTTTTTTTCGGGACAGGAACGATAGTGGAGTGTTTAAGACATGTGGGGACTACAGACTGCAAGTCCGTTTTTGCTTATAACGTCGCAAATACGTATAATTCAGTGGTAATGTTGGTGTCACCTCACGATGTGAATCGATGTGGTGAAAAGATAAATAATAAGGTTTTGTGAGTGATTTTCGGTGCAGTAAGGTGTTAGCATTTTTCGCTCGTTGCTAATTCAGAGGCTCAGTGTTAGCATTGTGGGTTTTCTTTTGAAAAAATAATAAAAATGATCAGTTAGATGAGTTTCTTCCCGTTACATGGATATAAAATATTCATAGTTTTATTAAATGAACATTCCCTCAGACACTGTTTCCTACAGTCTCCTCCATGCTGCTCTCAGTGCTCCTTCTCCTGCTGGGTCTCTGAAATAAGTATTAACACTACAGTCAACACAAAACCAATCTACAGCTAAGAAGTAGCTTAACGGCAGAGGTGGGAAGTACATTTACTCAAGTACTGTACATAAGTACAACTATAGAGGTACTTGTACTTTACTTGAGTATTTACATTGTATGCTACTTCTACTACACTACAGTTCAGAGGTACATGGTGTACTTTTACTCCACTACATGTATTTAATACCTTTAGTTACTTCACAGATCTGGATGAATGATGTGAAATATAACCAAGTGTTAAATCAGACTTGAGTTCCACCTGGAGTAAATCCACAAGCTACCCTGCAGTATACAAAGTCATTCAAACTAGCTGCACCTTTACCAGCTTTGAGAACACTTTCATGATCAATCATTATAAAACATATCATATATATTATTCTGAAATGGACCAATCTGCACAATGACTACTTTTACTGTCGCTACTTTCACTATATTTTGATGCTACTTTTACTCACTGACCAGATCGGAGTACACCACTGAAATACAGCATTTATCTCAAAGTACACGGCGGTGAAATGTCGTTTACTTTTTTTTACTAAACCCCTCTCAGTGCAAGATATATAAGACAAACCTTCATATACTATAGTACCAGCAGTAAAAGTACAGCCTTATTTTTAGCCTCATGCTGAAATATCCGCGGTGAAAGTAGTCAGTATTATAGTAAAAGTGCTAAGTATTATCAGTAGCAAAAGTAATCAGTATTATAGTAAAAGTACTCAGTATTTTAATAAAAGTGCTAAGTATTATCAGTAGCAAAAGTAGGCCTACGTCGTTTTATAGTAAAAGTACTCAGTATTATCAGTTTTAAAGTACACAGTATTATCAGTATTAAACTACTCAGTAATATCAGTAGTAAAAGTACTCGGTATTATAGTAAAAGTACACAGTAATATCAGTAGTAAAAGTACACAGTATTATAGTAAAAGTACTCAGTATTACCCGGTGTTCCTGCTCCTCTCTGTTCTTCAGTTTGTTGATGTTCACCGACTAGCATTAGCCACCTAGCATGAAGCAGCTAGCAGCAGATAAGGACCCGGATGAAGAGGTGGAATTGTTCTAAAGCTCCTCTCGTCTCTTCTTCTCCTGAGAGAAACGGGTTATATTCTAATATTAATGAGAGCTGATAGAGACTCTGACCGATGGAAGTTTCACAAGAAGTGGATCCTGCCTGAGAGCATGGTCGAGAGCAGAAGTACCCGGATGTGGGTCCACAGAGCATGCGCAGTAGAGGTTTCCTTTAAGCCCCGCCTCCCATCTCCCGCTCTCTGTCAGACAGATGAATGGAGAGATCAAATACATCTGGATTCAGCTTTTAGATAATGTTATAACTTCTAAAAACCTAATGATTCAAATAAAGGCTTTACAAGAGTTAACACTGGGTAGTTTATTTAGTTTTCAAAGAATTATCCGCTGATTTACAGACGTTTCTTTCCCCATGTAAGTCAACGGGAAAACGTTTTTTTGGCAAATCTATTAAAATAAAATAAATAAGTAAAATGTTTTCATCCTAGGAGAAACTGTGGTTTTGTGATCAATTATTAATACATGCAAAATATATAATACATTAAAAAAAAATGTATGAAAGACAATAATATAATAATATGAATAGGCCTACTAATCATTTCTAAATGTAGATGAGGAATTAAAAAGATTAATTATTACAGAATCGAACAAAAATCATGTTGCAAAAAATAAGAGATGAATTGTGGAAGAAAATTACTCATTTACTAAACAAACAAATGATTCCTTTTCAAGTTTCTGAACATACAGCCATCAAGTGCATGGTGTCGCTTTTCTAGATTCTATATAGATAGATAGATAGATAGATAGATAGATAGATAGATAGATAGATAGATAGATAGATAGATAGATAGATAGATAGATAGATAGATAGATAGATAGATAGATAGATAGATAGATAGATAGATAGATAGATAGATAGATAGATAGATAGATAGATAGATAGACAGACAGACAGACAGACAGACAGACAGACAGACAGACAGACAGACAGTTAGATAGATAGATAGATAGATAGATAGATAGATAGATAGATAGATAGATAGATAGATAGATAGATAGATGGATGGACGGACGGACGGACGGACGGACGGACGGACGGACGGACGGACGGACGGACGGACGGACAGACAGACAGACAGACAGACAGACAGACAGACAGATAGATAGATGATGATGGATAGATGGATGGATGGATGGATGGATGGATGGATGGATGGACTGGATAGGACGGACGGACGGACGG